TCTTTTCTGTACTTTCTACTCCTCGCTTGTCCCTTGTGTCCTTTTATGTCCTTGTACGTCCTTACTAGTCCTTTTCTGTCCTTACAAGTCCTTTTGTGTCCTTTTCCGTCCTTTTCTGTCCTTGTTAGTCCTTTTCTGTCCTTACTAATCCTTTCCCGTCCTTTTACGTCCTTACTAGGCCTTTAATGTCCTTTTACGTCCTTAATAGTCCTTTTGTGCCCTTACTAGTCCTTTTACGTCCTTTTACGTCCTTATTAGTCCTTTTGTGTCCTTACTAGTCCTTTTCTGTCATTACTAGTCCTTTTCTGTCCTTACTAGTCCTTTTATGTCCTTACTAGTCCTTTTATGTCCTTTTACGTCCTTATTAGTCCTTTTGTGTCCTCACTAATCATTTCCCGTCCTTTTACGTCCTTTTCAGTCCTTTTGTGTCCTTACTAATCATTTCCCGTCCTTTTACGTCCTTTTTAGTCCTTTTCTGTCCTTACTAGTCCTTTTATGTCCTTTTACGTCCTTACTAGTCCTTTTCTGTCCTTACTAATCCTTTTCTGTCCTTACTAGTCCTTTTCTGTCCTTACTAGTCCTTTTCCGTCCTTACTAGTCCTTTTATGTCCTTACTAGTCCTTTTCCGTCCTTACTAGTCCTTTTATGTCCTTACTAGTCCTTTTCCGTCCTTACTAGTCCTTTTATGTCCTTACTAGTCCTTTTATGTCCTTACTAGTCCTTTTCCGTCCTTACTAGTCCTTTTATGTCCTTACTATTCCTTTTCCGTCCTTACTAGTCCTTTTATGTCCTAACCAGTCCTTTTATGTCCTTACTAATCCTTTCCCGTCCTTACTAGTCCTTTAGTATCCTTATTAGTCCTTTTCCGTCCTTACTAGTCCTTTAGCATCCTTACTAGTCCTTTAGTATCCTTATTAGACCTTTAGTATCCTTATTAGTCCTTTTCCGTCCTTACTAGTCCTTTTCCGTCCTAACTAGTCCTTTTCCGTCCTTACTAGTCCTTTCATATCCTTACTAGTCCTTTTCTGTCCTAACCAGTCCTTTTATGTCCTTACTAATCCTTTCCCGTCCTTACTAGTCCTTTAGCATCCTTACTAGTCCTTTAGTATCCTTATTAGTCCTTTTCCGTCCTTACTAGTCCTTTTCCGTCCTAACTAGTCCTTTTATGTCCTTACTAGTCTTTTCTGTCCTTATTAGTCCTTTTCCGTCCTTACTAGTCCTTTAGCATCCTTACTGGTCCTTTATTATCCTTATTAGTCTTTTTCCGTGGTTACTAGTCCTTTTATGTCCTTACTAATCCTTTTCCGTCCTTACTAGTCCTTTTATGTCCTTATTAGTCCTTTTCCGTCCTTACTGGTCCTTTTATGTCCTTACTAGTCCTTTTATGTCCTTACTAGTCCTTTTCCGTCCTTACTAGTCCTTTTATGTCCTTACTATTCCTTTTCCGTCCTTACTAGTCCTTTTATGTCCTAACCAGTCCTTTTATGTCCTTACTAATCCTTTCCCGTCCTTACTAGTCCTTTAGTATCCTTATTAGTCCTTTTCCGTCCTTACTAGTCCTTTAGCATCCTTACTAGTCCTTTAGTATCCTTATTAGACCTTTAGTATCCTTATTAGTCCTTTTCCGTCCTTACTAGTCCTTTTCCGTCCTAACTAGTCCTTTTCCGTCCTTACTAGTCCTTTCATATCCTTACTAGTCCTTTTCTGTCCTAACCAGTCCTTTTATGTCCTTACTAATCCTTTCCCGTCCTTACTAGTCCTTTAGCATCCTTACTAGTCCTTTAGTATCCTTATTAGTCCTTTTCCGTCCTTACTAGTCCTTTTCCGTCCTAACTAGTCCTTTTATGTCCTTACTAGTCTTTTCTGTCCTTATTAGTCCTTTTCCGTCCTTACTAGTCCTTTAGCATCCTTACTGGTCCTTTATTATCCTTATTAGTCTTTTTCCGTGGTTACTAGTCCTTTTATGTCCTTACTAATCCTTTTCCGTCCTTACTAGTCCTTTTATGTCCTTATTAGTCCTTTTCCGTCCTTACTAGTCCTTTTCTGTCCTTATTAGTCCTTTTCCGTCCTTACTAGTCATTTTCTGTACTTATTAGTCCTTTTACGTCCTTACTAGTCCTTTTATGTCCTTACTAGTCCTTTTCCGTCCTTACTAGTACTTTTATGTCCTTACTAGTCCTTTAGTATCCTTATTAGTCCTTTTCCGTGGTTACTAGTCCTTTTATGTCGTTACTAATCCTTTCCCGTCCTTACTAGTCCTTTTATGTCCTTACTAGTCCTTTTCCGTCCTTATTAGTCCTTTTCTGTCCTTATTAGTCCTTTTCTGTCCTTACTAGTCCTTTTACGTCCTTACTAGTCCTTTTCTGTCCTTATTAGTCCTTTTCCGTCCTTACTAGTCCTTTTATGTCCTTACTAGTCCTTTAGCATCCTTACTAGTCCTTTAGTATCCTTATTAGTCCTGTTCCGTCCTAACTAGTCCTTTTACGTCCTTACTAGTCCTTTTATGTCCGTACTAGTCCTTTTCCTTCCTTACTAGTCCTTTTCTGTCCTTATTAGTCCTTTTCCGTCCTTACTAGTCTTTTTATGTCCCTACTAGTCCTTTAGCATCCTTACTAGTCCTTTAGTATCCTTATTAGTCCTTTTCCGTCCTAACTAGTCCTTTTCGTCCTTACTAGTCCTTTTATGTCCGTACTAGTCCTTTTCTGTCCTTATTAGTCCTTTTCCGTCCTTACTAGTCCTTTTATGTCCGTACTATTCCTTTAGTATCCTTATTAGTCATTTTCCGTGGTTACTAGTCCTTTTATGTCCTTACTAATCCTTTCCCGTCCTTACTAGTCCTTTTATGTCCTTACTAGTCCTTTTCCGTCCTTACTAGTCCTTTTATGTCCTTATTAGTCCTTTTCCGTCCTTACTAGTCCTTTTCTGTTTTTATTAGTCCTTTTCTGTCCTTACTAGTCCTTTTACGTCCTTACTAGTCCTTTTCTGTCCTTATTAGTCCTTTTCCGTCCTTACTAGTCCTTTTATGTCCTTACTAGTCCTTTTACGTCCTTACTAGTCCTTTTATGTCCTTATTAGTCCTTTTTCGTCCTTACTAGTCCTTTTATGTCCTTACTAGTCCTTTAGTATCCTTATTAGTCCTTTTCCGTCCTTACTAGTCCTTTTTCGTCCTTACTAGTCCTTTTCCGTCCTTACTAGTCCTTTCCCGTCCTTACTAGTCCTTTTCCGTCCTTACTAGTCCTTTTCTGTCCTTATTAGTCCTTTTCCGTCCTTACTAGTCCTTTTATGTCCTTACTAGTCCTTTTACGTCCTTACTAGTCCTTTTCTGTCCTTATTAGTCCTTTTCCGTGCTTACTAGTCCTTTTATGTCCTTACTAGTCCTTTAGCATCCTTACTAGTCCTTTAGTATCCTTATTAGTCCTTTCCCGTCCTTACTAGTCCTTTTTCGTCCTTACTAGTCCTTTCCCGTCCTTACTAGTCCTTTCCCGTCCTTACTAGTCCTTTTCCGTCCTTACTAGTCCTTTTCCGTCCTTATTAGTCCTTTAGTGTCCTAACTAGTCCTTTTCCGTCCTAACAAGTCCTTTAATGTCTTTACTAGTCCTTTTCCGTGCTTACTAGTCCTTTAGTGTCCTGACTAGTCCTTTACCGTCCTAACTAGTCCTTTATTGTCCTTACTTGTCCTTTTCCGTCCTTATTAGTCCTTTTCTGTCCTAACTGTAGTCCTTTTCCGTCCTTGCTAGTCTTTTCCGTGCTATCTAGTCCTTTTATGTCCTAACTAGTCCTTGTCCGTCCTTATTAGTCCTTTTTCCTCCCTAAGTAGTCCTTTTATGTCCTAACTAGTCCTTTTTCGTGTTTGCTAGTCTTTTACTGACCATACTAGTCCCTTTATATAATATTTAGCCCTTTTCCATCCATACTAGTCCTTTTCTGTCCTTATACTACTTTTCTTTTTCTTTCCTTAACAGTCCTTTTCTGTCCTGCGTTCTGTTTGTCTCTGTTTTAAGTCCTGTTGTTTTTCTTGATGTCGGTTTCCTGTCCCAAATAGTTTTTTGCGAAGCGAGGGGATTTTTTTTTTGTCGTCACGTTAGCGGTACTATTCCAAGTTGGACAGAAACGAACAGGTTTGGTTTTTTTTCTTTTTTACGGAAAGAATACTTTTGCGAAGTGGGTGGTAATTGACATCAATCCCAGTTATTTACCATTTTTTCTCCGACGCGGTATATTCTTCAAATCAGCACAGAATATCATCCGTCATGGGATATAAAAAAGAAGATGCAAGCTCCCAGTTGTTTTCTACTCAGTTTATTACAACAATCTTACTGCTTTTACATGTATTTCTTAAAGAATATCTCCACTGAAACTTAATCTCCTAGTGATCTTTGAGTCTTGATCAACAGAAACTTTCTTCATCTGTTTTAAAAAAGGTTTAAGTCCTTCTGCTAAACCTAACAGATAGTGTCCTTGCAGTACTGATAAGAAAAACGGTATCTTTCATTATCAAAAGAAGAAAAACAGTTTGGTGTTTGCATAAAACATCATTTCCTCAATAACAAATCGATTGATTGGAGTCGCCTGTTATGATCGATAATTGGGCATGCTGCGCCAAGCAATAGTTGTACTTTCAAAAATCAATGAATGGAAGCTACAGTAACTGCTCTAGTAGTAAGAAAAACAGCTAAGCTAGCATTTTTTCTTCTCAACTTTTTTAATGTCCGGTCAAGTTTGGCAGGTTTCCTTTCGAAGCGGACAGGTCAAGTAATGACTCATTCACTACAAGAGAAATCAATGAAAGCAAAGGAAATCTTTAATACCGTAGGGCTTTCAGCAATATGATGTCAAACACTGGACAAGGATACTAATGGGGAATTATTAACATTGACGGGCTGTGGTTGTTCTAGCATTCATCAAACTGTTTAACGGCTTAGCTTAGCATATCACTAAAGCTTGTTTGTGTTGACGATTGCTGCCATGTTCGGAACAAATATGAAAAAATATTTCCTGGAGTAGACGTCAAACTTGATTTGTTTCATGCTTGTCAGAGAATAACAAAGACCTTCACGAAAGGCAATGCCTTGCACAACGACATCACCAGAGACTTTATACAGATTTTTAGAGATAACAATGACCTCGGTGAAACGCGAACTAAACATACCCCAAGTGAAGAACAAATCGAAAAAAATCTTAATTCCTTTCATGATAGATGGATTAATGTTCCAAGCAGCCCTTTAACAAGCGCAACACAAACAGAATTGGAGAACCTGCGTCAGCACATTAGGAAAGGGTGCCTATCGTGCATACCTCCAGGCTGTGGAACTGAACGCAACGAACAACTCCATCGGCTTCTTAACAGATCAATGATCACTGGAGCCAGTATAATATCAGTCGAACTAGCAATAGCTCTATTGACTGTAATCTTTTACCAGCACAATAAAAAAATTTCCGCGTTAAAACATGAATGCAACTCAAAAGTGAAGCCCGTTGCGCCCGTTGAGACATGCATCAATGACGATAATTTACACCGTGCATCATTCTGTACAGTAAAAAATGTTGCTGATAATACAACACCATCTCAGTATACCGAGTCTGATCAGCCCACCCACGAAAGTCCAATGGTGGTTATTGCAGACAATGTAGAAGATCTTTTTCAGGAGTCTATTGCTGCGAGCATTTTAACTGTTATGTGTAACCTACAGCAATTGATCGATAACATTGGCAGCAAGAATTGTGACAGGTCTTTTAACGCCCTTGATATTATACATTTGATTAACATGTCAGACATTTTAACCGTGGAGGAAAACAGTGAAATAGATGACCCAACGATAAATTCCCAAACCGAAACACTTAACAGACACTTGGGAGGGTTCAACCTTGAAATAGATGCGATTCAGCCTGATGGCGACTGCGCCTTTAGAAGTGTTGTGAGACAAGCCACTAAAAGGGCATGTAATGAACCACAAATATCAGCACATCTGCGTTCTTTGGGGCTTCTAATTGACGATGACAGAGACACGTTCACTTTAAGGCAACTGTTTGTGGATGAACTTCTAAAATATTCAGGCGCTGCTACGTCCTTTTTAGAAGGCTCTGCAGAGGAGAAATCAAGAAGAGCAGAGGGGTTTCGCGTGCGTGGAGTTTTCGATAGGGACATTGGTGATTTGGTGATAAAAGTCTGTTCTTCTATAATCAAGGTGCCAGTGATTGTGATAACGTCTAGCAGGTCCGTTCCCGTTGTTCCTTTCACGCCTGATGAACCTTTGACCAACCAACCCATTTATATAGCGTACCACTATTACGGTGCTGGCCATTATGATGCCACTAACAATAAAATTTCAGGTAAGAACACTGAAGTGAACCCATAGATAATACTCCATTGCGAGCACGAACAATTCTAAAGACTCACACGAGCCCAGTGACTAAACCTGTAAAGTGCATGTGTCTCTCGAATTAAAACATACTTCTACATTAGCTTTAAAAGGTCCATGTCACAGTTGTCTACCCCGTTATGTTATGTAGGTAGTACCAATTACGCGCCCATTCGCTATATGGAGCTGGATTTGGAGAAATTACTTGTTTGGCGAATAGATATGTCTCCCAAGCAATACTGGTATAAACAGTTAAAATCACAAAACCCTAATTTAACTATGAATGCATTTTGTTGACAGTTTCACAACCCGGTGAAAGTCGTGGATGCTACTGCGGACGACAGGTGAAGTCGAGAGATAAGTTGTCTTGCAATGCGGCCACAACTAGTAAATCCCGTTGTCCCTGCGTGTTAAACAAGAGACTGTGTGAGCCGCGCAAATGCAAATGCCTCAACTGTGCGAACAAAACTCAGCAGGGTGAAAAAGTGGGAAAAAGTACTTCATGTCGCTGTGGGGAGTCGAAGAAAAGCAAGTTCCAAGGAACAGAGAACTCTTCATGTGTAGATATCGTTGGCAAGAGAAGGACAAAATGTCCTTGCTACGCTATCGGCAAGGCCTGTGACGATCACTGTTCCTGTTACAATTGCGGCAACAGTTATGGAAAGAAAGAAGAAAGTAAAAAGGACTTTGCATCAAGGAAAAGGAAGATGGTTTCCAGTCCTCCTTCACTGAAAAGGACTCGAACATCGAAAGTTCTTGGGGAACAGGGATTCGAGATTAACTGGGGGAAATGGACTGTTGTTGAAGCCTGTCTTCTTGAAACTGTGGAGTCTTTTCTCTGTACCACGAATGTCCTACCAACCTATCAAAATATAACAAAGTTGTACAATTTTGTGGCTAACAGCAATCGTGCATCTCATCTCAAGCTTAATGTAAACCCGAAAACAGAAAAACAAGTATTGGGAAAACTTAATTTTAAGCATTCGAGACACATTGCCTTAGAAAATTTATTTTACGGCTTATCATAAGCCAAGCGTTTTAATTAGATCAGTCTTGAATTAGTTCAGGTTTCTAAAGAAGTGTAACAGCAAATTGTTGGTACCAATAGGCCATTTGCACTAAGAGGCATGTGACATCGTTTTTATGAAAATGAAAGTTATATATATAACGTTAACAGCACATCTGAGCGCAAATATGAAACGTTGAACAAGATATGAGCAAGAAGTAGTTTTGGCCGCCATGTTGGAGGGCAAAAGCATCCCCTCCAACATGGCGGCCAGTACAAATCATACTCCTTTGCTGAAAAATCAAAGTGCCATAAAATATCTCCCTTAAATGCGTTTCCTCTCAAATTTCGGGTGTAAGATAATTTTTGTGTGCTCTGTCAATTTTTGGCATCAGCAAGATTCCCACTCATTGTTTAAAGGAAGCATTGGTCACGTGACCTCTTAGTGCCAGCGGCCTATTTCGGCCTTTTAAGAAGAAGAGCTTTTCTCTATTTTTTTTTCTGTATAACTTCTAAGTAGGTAAGCACAATTAATTTGAAAGAAGATCCCAGACTAAAATAACATTGATATTTCTTAACCTGGCTCTAACTCTAAATTAAATTTTTTATTTAAACTGATGAACTGTTTTCGTAGTTTGTTGTAGTCAGGTTGCAAAACATACACTTTAAAACTCTTTCCTTGAACTCGAACTCTAAGGCTACATAAGGTTGTCGTCTTTTCTGCAGAGCTTACAGACTTTGACGAAGTCCCAGATAACTCTAATAAACGACCAACATACACGGTCAGTTCAGATTCAATGGAAGAAAAGAAGGGATTACAATTTTAGTACAGAAAATACTACAATGAAGTGATCTGAAAAATTTCTAACTATGGCAGTTCACAGTTCAAGTAATGTAATTCTTCTTGCCATCGAATATTTCATTGATTCGAAAGGAGAAAGACAAAATATAAAACTTTTATCAACTCAAAACAACTACTCACCTTCGTTTGGCTTGAAAAAGCTAGTAATTTTCTTCATTTCGTCTGATAAAACTGATAAAAAACTCTGCCGGAGCTGGAAGTACAAAACACGCTGCCGAACGAAGCGAAGGGGTGGCCAAGGCATGGCGTTTGATCAAGGGGCAAGTCGGCCCCAGGGCACAATTACCGCGAAAAGCACAGGAGCCCCACAAAATGCCTGGCGTTTGAAATTAAAGAAAATACAGAGAATATAGCGGAATATAGACGGAAAAAAACTTGTTTCAGGTCTTTTTTTATTATAATTATTTTTCTTTTTAGCGCAAAAAGTGGGGGCTGGGGCGCAAAAAAGTGGTAAGGCCGCGGCCCTACCAGCCCCTCCCCCTCCGCGGTCCCTGAACGACGACATAAAAGGACGGAAAATGACTAGTAAGGACACAAAAAGATTAGTAAGGACAGAAAAGGAAGGACTAGGAAGGACAGAAAAGGACGAGTAAGGACAGAAAAGGATTAGTAAGGACCGAAAAGGACTAGTAAGGACAGAAAAGGACTAGTAAGGACAGAAAAGGACTAATAAGGACGTAAAAGGACATAAAAGGACTAGTAAGGACAGAAAAGGACTAGTAAGGACATAAAAGGACTAGTAAGGACAGAAAAAGGCTAGTAAGGACACAAAAGGACTAATAAGGACAGAAATGGACTAACGAGGTCAAAAGGACGGAAAATGACTAGTAGGGACACAAAAGGACTAGTAGGGACACAAAAGGACTAATAAGGACAGAAAAGGACTAGTAAGGACACAAAAGGACTAATAAGGACATAAATGGACTAACGAGGACATAAGGACACAAGAGGCTTACTAAGGACAGAAAAGGACTGAGAGGACATAGAAGGACGGAAAAGGACAGAAAAGGACTAGTAAGGACACGAAAGAACTAATAAGGACATAAAAGGACGGAAAAGGACAGAAAAGGACTAGTAAGGACACAAAAGGACTAATAAAAACATAAAAGGACTAACGAGGACATAAAAAGATGGTAAAGGACTAGTAAGGACATAAAAGGACGGAAAATGACATAAAAGGACTATTAAGGACAGGAAAAGACGACTAGTAAGGACATAAAAGGACGGTAAAGGACTAGTAAGGACATAAAAGGACGGAAAAGGACATAAAAGGACTATTATGGACAGAAAAGGACTAGTAAGGACATAAAAGGACTAGTAAGGACAGAAAAGGACAAATAAGGACTTAAAAAGACGGAAAAGGATTAGTAAGGACACAAAAGGACTAGTAAGGACGGAAAAGGATTAGTAAGGACTAATAAGGACGGAAAAGGGTTAGTAAGGACACAAAAGGACTAGTAAGAACTTAAAAGGACTACTAAGGACGTAAAAGGACATAAAAAGAACTAGTAAGGGCACAAAAGGACTAATAAGGACGTAAAAGGACATAAAAGGACTAGTAAGGATAGAAAAGGACTAGTAAGAACGTAAAAGGACGGAAAAGGATTAGTAAGGACAGAAAAGGACTAATAAGGACAGAAAGGACGGAAAAGGACACAAAGGGACTAGTAAGGACAGAAAAGGATTCATAAGGACAGAAAGGACTAATAACGACATAAAAGGACGGAAAAGGATTGGTAAGGACACAAAAGGACTAGTAATGACACAAAAGGATTAATGAGGACGTAAAAGGACATAAAAGGACTAGTAAGGACGTAAAAGGACGGGAAAGGATTAGTAAGGACACAAAAGGACTAATAAGGACAGAAAAGGATTAATAAGGACAGAAAGGACTAATAAGGACGTAAAAGGACGGAAAAGGATTAGTAAGGACACAAAAGGACTAATAAGGACAGAAAAGGATTAGTAAGGACACAAAAGGACTATTAAGGACGTAAAAGGACATAAGAGGACTAGTAAGAACAGAAAAGGACTAGTAAGGACGTAAAAGGACGGAAAATGATTAGTAAGGACAGAAAAGGACTAACAAGGACAGAAAGGACGGAGAAGGACAGAAAAGGACTAGTAAGGACATAAAATTACTAGTAAGGACAGAAAAGGATTAGTAAGGACGTAAAAGGACATAAAAGGACTAGTAAGGATAGAAAAAACCTAGTAAGGACATAAAAGGACTAAAAAGGACGTAAAAGGACGAGAAATGATTAGTAAGGACACAAAAGGACTATTAAGGACTAGTAAGGACATAAAAGGACTAGTAAGGACAGAAAAGGACTAGTAAGGACGTAAAAGGACTAGTAAGGACAGAAAAGGACTAGTAAGGACAGAAAAGGACTAATAAGGACAGAAAAGGACTAGTAAGGACAGAAAAGGACTAGTAAGGACAGAAAAGGACTAATAAGGACAGAAAAGGACAAGTAAGGACAGAAAAGGACAAATAAGGACAGAAAAGGACTAATAAGGACATAAAAGGACAAGTAAGGACAGAAAAGGACAAGTAAGGACAGAAAAGGACTAATAAGGACATAAAAGGACAAGTAAGGACAGAAAAGGACTAATAAGGACATAAAAGGACTAGTAAGGACAGAAAAGGACTAATAAGGACAGAAAAGGACTAGTAAGGACGGAAAAGGACTAGTAAGGACAGAAAAGGACTAGTAAGGACGGAAAAGGACTAATAAGGACAGAAAAGGACTAGTAAGGACAGAAAAGGACTAGTAAGGACAGAAAAGGACTAGTAAGGACAGAAAAGGACTAATAAGGACAGAAAAGGACTAGTAAGGACAGAAAAGGACTAGTAAGGACAGAAAAGGACTAGTAAGGACAGAAAAGGACTAGTAAGGATAGAAAAGGACTAATAAGGACAGAAAAGGACTAGTAGGGACAGAAAAGGACTAGTAAGGACAGAAAAGGACTAATAAGGACAGAAAAGGAGTAGTAAGGACAGAAAGGACTAGTAAGGACAGAAAAGGACTAATAAGGACAGAAAAGGACTAATAAGGACAGAAAAGGACTAGTAAGGACAGAAAAGGA